CTCTGACCGAGCACGGCTCCCATTGCGCCGCGGGGAGACGCGGCGACCAGCCTTTTTCTGCTACAGCGCTGCTTTGTCCGGCTGGGGCGGCACTGCGGTTAATTGCAGAGTCGTGACGGCCCCATGTCGCTTCCGTTCCGTCACGGTGTCAGAGCTCTGCGGGCTGCCCAATCCCTGTGAGGAGCGCGCGGTGGTGGAGTAGACCAACTGTCGGCCGGAGCGGCGTGCGAACTGCGACGTCGCTGTCGCCCCAGGGATCTGTCACACACTGCCGATTTAATTAGGATTTCCGAGAGTGGCGGCTGCCTCTGCCGCCGGCGGCATGATGCGGGATTGGCAGAGCTTTGCTGGCAGTTCAGATTAAATCCTTTTGACGTCGGGACTCAGCCGCGCTGGTGGATGGATCCTGCCGGGTCTTTGGGGACGTCTCGGGTTCATAAAACTGGGCCGCGCAGCGTGCCCGCGACCTGCATCAGTTATTCATCGGGACGCGGCGGTGCCGGGAGCGGTGGAGGTGGAACGGGGAGGCGGCTCTCACTGGGGACCAGCGCAGCGGACTACTACTACGACCATAGCCTGCTACCGGCACTGGGCCGGCCGTGGCGGCCCCGCGCCCCCGGCGGGGGCTCTCAAACCGCCATAGTGTCCGGCCGGCCAGGTGTCGAGTCGGGACCGCTCCAGGACGGTAAACAGTCGATCAGCAGCGGGCGCTATCACGGCGACTGGGGGCCGTCACCGCCGCCCAGCCGGCGAGGGTTGAGGACCCCTGACGGCGCGGCTCACTGGAAGGCCGGCACGGGACGGCGAGTGGCGAGACGGCCAGACACAGTCCGGCCGCCGGCGGAGGTTCAGTTGGATTTCAAATCGGCGCGGCCAGGGCGCCCGATCCGTGTTCATTGTGTTGCTGCTGCCGTGGGCGGCGTTTGCTGACGCTGCGCTCTGACGGAGGTCGTCGGTGGTTACCCGTGAAGCGGCCTACTGTCCAAACATGTCTGGAGTACAGGTAAACACTAACTTCCCACTGCACCGGCCCGGGGTACCGCGATAGGTGCATCGCTGATGTGTGTTTGTCCCGCAGACAGCAGTCCGCCGGAGTGAAGCTTACAGGGGCGTGGTGGGAGCCGTGCTCGTCCGTCGACATTGTCCCCCGATCACAATGGTCTCGCGTGCCTGGCGGGCCCGCCCAATCCGTTTGTCTCACTCGGTGCGAGGACACGCACGTCGAGCACAGACCAGACAGGCAGAGCTGTAGAGAGCCTGGACAGCTCGGATATGGGGATTATCCGATAGCCGCGTCGCTGAGATAGGTACCCGCCCAGCTAGGCTGTGAAATCCGTTCACTGCACGGGGTGAGGCCGAGAATGGGCTCTCCAAACACCTGTGGGCGGTGAAAGGTGGGCGGGGCGCCGGCATCGGCATTCCATCATACCTCCCACTGATCAAAGGCTTCGCGCGATCGCAGGTGAACCTGAAAGAAGTGCGTTCCATAAACATGTACGGAGAAGGGTATTTTAAGATCAAAGTCCGATGTGAAATTGTGAAATAATGATGGCTGAAATGTTCAGATGGACGATCGTCTCTCAAACTATCGCAGACTGATGACGAAATAGAACGATGCTGAGTGTGCAAAAGTGATTTGAATATCAACAAATGTGACCGACTTCTGTCCAGTGGACGGCAGCGTTACATCGACTGTGACCGGCCCCGGGGCTCGCTGTATATTTATCAATCGCGGTAATGTTTCGTCATTGCATTTAGCTGATGAGATGGAATGTGGCCAGCGCATCACTTTGACAGCTGCTAATGCCTATCGAAGTCGTCTTCACGATACACATTCCGCTTCAAAATGCTTATTCGGGAAGCTCTTGCGTTGAAATCAATGTTGATTTGACGTAGTGAATCCTCCCATTTTCTTGCAATGAAGAACTCTTCATAATGATATCTCCCCAGCATCTGACATTGAAAGGTCGTCAGTGTGCGCGCTGCCAGCCGTGTGACAGGTTACACCGCATACCTGCCCGTCTCAGCTCCGCAGCCACCGCCGGTTATTCCGCACTCCACACGCGGTGTGATGGACCGGTGCAGGCGGGATGTGGAGGGCACCGTCCGCACTGCCTGTTTGTCTCCGCCGTAACCCGTCCGCTCCGCCCCCGCCCCCGCCCGGCAGCTCTCACGCAGGCTCACAGCCGAGGTCACACGCACGCACGGTGACCCCGAGGTCAGGCCGAGGTCGCTGCCGGCTCTCATTAGGGCCGGCGCGAGGCGCACAGCCCCAGTGCAGGTCGCGGTGGTGACCGGAGACGGTTGGTCGGTCGGTCGGTCGTTCGGGCGGTCCGTGACGGGGGTGTGGTGAGCTCGGCGGACTGCGGAGAGGCGTGGCCACGGCACAGGCATGCTTGCTGCGTTCAGGAGGCGCTACCACCCCCGGCTCTGCCGGCCGGGGCCCGTGGAGCTCACCAAGGTACCGTGTCATTCAGTCACAGCCGTCACTAGCACGATGACCGGAAACTACTACCCCTTGTTGAAACCTGTTACAACATCTATTCGTGACTTTTCCACAAGAAAGCATTCCTATGTAAGCTCATGTTTTGCTCGTTTCGATAGATTTCAGAGCAAAGTAGGTCGTTACTAAAAAGCCGACCCCTGCTCTCGAATTATCACCTAAGCTCGTGATAGCGCCCTTGTTTTGTCGTTGCTTTGACTGAGTTATAGTCACGCTCGAAACAAGTTTTAACCGCTGACTGACAGATAAGACAGGAGCAGTCGGCACGCGATACACTAAACAACGCTATTGTTTGGTGGCCCTGAGGGTTCAGTAAGTCAGTAGGACCTAATGAATGCTGCGGTGTGTTTTTATTCGTGACGTTTGACCACGGCATTGCAGAGACACGGGTTGACTACCCGTGACTACCTGCACCCACCCCTTTCAGTATAATTAGTCATACACAGAACTGTAGCCGCACGTGCCAGTATCATCTGACCTCCGCGCGTCTGTCCGCCTTGCGACGTATTACCCTGCTGCGAGCTGCGACTACCGTCAGCGGGCCCGTGCTGACGCGTGTGCGTCCGCTGGCGAGTGTGCGCGTGCGGGCGCACATGTCGCCCCACTGACCATCTGTCAGGAACACATGTGTGTGTGACCGAAGAGCAGGGGTCGGCAAGGCCACCAGCGGCACACTGCGCCGCCTGGGCCAGACGCGCCGCCTATAGCTATCTAGGTCAGCAATAACACCATTGGCCCAGTCTGAAATTCAGACATTTAAACTACGTGTAGATTTGGGATTGATCAGACTCGGGCTATATCGGTCCATTACAATCCTGACTTTGCCGAGTCGCATCGAATCACAAAATGAACTAACCCTGCTGTCACGGAAGCAGGTGGTGACTTCTTTTCATGATCTCATAACTTGTCATCGAATCGTGATTCAGCCGTCCATATGGGCCTCGTTCGTGATCTGAATCCTCTGTATAGACCGTAAGTCCGTGATCCAGTCGCCTTCCCTATACGGCCGCACTCGTGATTCAGTCGGTCCGTGATTTAGCCGGCCGCACGTGTCGTACGTCCATGATTCAGCCGTCCGTCACTCGTGGCACAGCGGCCCCTGTCAGGCGTCCACTGCCGGCGTGTGCGGTGTGCCAGCCGCCGCGCCGCTCTGGTCCGGTCGGCTGCGCAGGTCCCATGGTCCGCTGGTGGGGCCCAGACCGGTCACTGCCCCCCCCCCCCCCGTCTGCACACGGTTGACGGAGGGAAGGGAATGTCCTCTGCGCAGAGAGCTGGGTCGGCCACCGCCGCCGACTGCGCGGTACGAAATCATCCGCCATCGATCGGTGATGGTCTATACCGCTTTAAAATCCATTTCTATCCCGACCGAATCCAATCTGGACTTAACGTATCCAATAACCGATGTGAGTGCTCTTACATGAACAATGAACAGCATGACTTGGCCCTGCGAACTTTACAGCCGCCTGACCTTTGGCGGTGGCTGACCGGGTCTGCCACCTCACGGCACAGGGTTCGGCTGACCTTTCAACACTAGCCGGGTCCAGGTGATGTCACCTGTCGTGAGTCACGGCCGCCGGCCCGGCCGCACGGGTGGTATGACGGCACGTCGGGGCGATTTTGGACGTCCGTTGGTGTCGGTGATATTGAGAAAGACGTTTCGGCGGCATGTCTCGGCGCCGCATTCATTAGATACCAGGACAGGACCAGCCTTGTGCCGTTCCAGCGTCCAAGACCAGACGTTTATCTTTGTCGTGGGTACTGCTGTATGCTCCAGATCACTTGCTATCCTGTGCCGACTGACCTATCGGGTTACCACGTCTGGTTTTAGTCATGGATAAGGACCAGCTGCTTAGGCGGGCATTTGATGCATGGATGTGACAAAATGCTTACCGGCCTACGCAGCATTCCTTGGAACACGGAGCGCACTATGAGCTCATCACAGGGCACTGCAAGTGGCACACAGCTTCAGTTGGAAATGTGAATGGGCTCACTCTTAGAGTAATGCTTTTGCTTTGAACTGATTCGTCGGTAATATTTTGATCAGTGGTTGCCGTCTTCTAAGGCGATTCCGTTAAAATGGCGCTCGGTCATCCGAGAAGGCACCGCCACAGGCCGTCATTTCAAAGCCACCTCACCCTCTCAATCATCTGCGCTACATTGCAGCGAATTCTGTAATCATGAGGTAGCGTGCTCTGTTTTTCAACATGTGAAGTCTTGTCGATCGGATGCCGCTGCCGTGAAATACTGATGTCTGATATTACTGGAATTTAAATGGTGGCGAATGTAATGTTACTGTACCTCGATAATACAATGCTTTTGGAAAGGCATGATGCGTGCATAATTTTTGTATACCTTATCGCCGTGTACTTTCGCATAATCAGACGTAAAGCCGGTTCCGTTTTGTTGCTCTCCGCGGGGGTGCCCTCACTGATACCTAGTAGGTGTGTGGTGCTATCCTCCCTCTCTGACCGTTTGGCCTCCCCTCTCTGTGTTCCAGTTCCAGCAGACACTGCGTCTGACGCGGCAGACGTCCACCGGACCAGAGAGTCCCGTCGGACGCGCCGCCCGAGACGTGGTCGACATGGCCGACCCGGCCACCGGTACGTCACCCACCTACAGCTCACTCTCCATTTGCTGTTATATTTGGATACCTGTATGTATCGTAGAAGTGCGGTGCGCTGTGTCCTGTCAGTGCTGTGCATGTAAAAACTGACAGGCTCTGCCGGATACCTTCGTCGGCTCCGTATAACACTGATTGCAAAATGGCATCACCATGAGGCGGTCCAAATCAAATCGTCATCGTATCCGGCTCAGCTCATAGTTTGGTTCGTTAACGAAGCATTGAAGGGCTATCAGCGATAAATCACCAGTACTTGAACATTTACTATGCACATTTACGATTGATTACACCTTCCTCATGTACGACTACGCATAGCGTTGCAGATACAGGAAAATGCAACAGTGTCCCGTTACTTGTTTCATGGTGTATCCACACCGCTCTCCAATGCAGCCACGACGACAGCAGTTTTCCCTTGTCGTCTTTGTCGTCTATTGGTCTGTCGTTCCTGACGTCTGCCTCCCGTCCTACCCCCCCCCCCCGTCTCAGAGCGGATCGTGATGACGCCGCTGCCCAAGCGGGAGAACACGTCGTCGATCCTGATTGAGCGCGTGGCGGCGCCGGCGGCCGACGCGGACGGCGCGGCGTCATCAGACGTGCACGTGGCGGGCGGAGATCACCGCGGCATCGTGGTCAATAAGAGCCGGAAAACAGGTGAGGGTGGGGCGTCGAATCGTGATGACCTGGTAGGTGGAGAGAAAGGAGCGTCGTTTATTGACATTTTAATGGACTCTGGCTTTGTTTATTCAACGTTTTCAGGGGGCGTTCTTTGGGTGTAGCTTGTTATCTTTCATGGGATCTTTGTTTTGTTTACAACTACTTGTCAAAAAAGTTATACGGACAAGATGGAAACAACCCCGTCATCGCTTCATTATCTCAAATATATGGGTAGTCGTTGGTATGACATCCGGCTCCGCCCAGTGATTTTATCCTGGGTGTATCACTTTGTAACCCGTAAACCGCTAACAAACCTCATCGGGAGTTTCCAACACGACTAAACGAGTCACAAATTGGTCCCGCGCGGCCCTGTCAGCAGTGGCTGATGAACTGATGGTGGGCTAACCAGGGTGTGTCTGTCGCGTGCCGGCGGTACGGTTAGGCGGCTGTGGGCGCGTCAAGGCGACTTTTTCTGCCGGTCGCTGGGCGCCGGGCCGGCTGGAAGCGGCGCTACTGAGAGGATGATTGGCCCCGCTCGCCCGCTCACCCCCGGCAGTGTGAGGGTGGAGTGGGCGACAATCTGTGGCGCGTTGTTAACTTTAATAGCGGCTGTTATAGTCGAGTTCCTAGGCGTCGGGGATGTGCGGCTATTCTGTCCTGGTTGAACCCTGATGTTTTTCGTCCTCCCTGGCTTCTGGATTCGATATTTCCCGACCTCTGTGCCGCCTATCTGCTGGCTCACGGGTTGTGTGTGCGTGTGGATGAATCACGGTATCCCATCACGACACGCCGTCCTTGTGGGCCGGATGGATTGGTGGGTGGGGCGGGTGACGTCATTCGGAAACAATCAGCTGTGTGGGCGGTGGGATATTGAATCCGAACTGACGAATGACACATTGTTTGCAAAACAATGTACCGAGATAGGCATAGGAATGCACGATAAGAGAATCAGTTCAATTTACGATATGTCAAGTGAATTTTTCACACCAGCAGTTTCGAAATGATTTACTTTTGCAGTCGCCATTGTCACAGCATGGATTGCTGAGTTACAATGAAACGTTCCCTTATGTGTTTTATGTCTGACCAAGTACCCCTCTGACCATACACCCCGCTCCCGCAGACATGGCCAGTTTACCACCGGCACAACTCACGCTCGAGTTCAAGGTGTTTCTGGTGAGCGCCGACACCAGCCTGCACACTCAGGAATCGCGCACTCTCCGGTTCTGGTTCAAGGAGTACGTGCCCGAGCAGGAGCAGGCGCGCTACGCCCAGGAGTTCTTCAAGGAGCTCGTCAGTCCGCTCGACTTCCCCAGGGGTGAGTGGGAGCCGGGCGGGACTCGTGACTCGGAGGGAGGGTGCCGGCCAGCGCCCAGTGCCAGGGAGACCGGCGTGAGCTCATTGCTTACACGCTGACGTGGTGTATTTATGTGCCGTGACAAAATGTCCGAGGCGGACGCCGTGCCCGTGTCGCCGCCCTGGCGTTCCGTGTCCGTGTCTGGTCGGGACGTGTGTCTGAGGCTGTATTACCGGGCCTGTCAGAAACGGTGCCGGTCACAGGCGATAGAGAGCGAGTGGCGATCGCCGTCCTCAGGCTGATAGGTCTGACCTGGTCAGCCTCCATACCGTCCAGCCAGTCTGCTGTTAGCCAGGGGTGCCTCTCGATCTGAAATGATGATGAGGTCGCGTCGCAGAACCGTAAACAGTGCAGACTGATGAGCATTTCGGCTATGCATAATGCCTTTCTCGATACCGAGGCATAACTTTTGGCTCATTTTTTGTGCCGACGCTGACGCATTACTTTTTGCATCAGCCTGAGCCTCAGCTGCCTGTGTTTTCATGGGTTTCTGAATCAATGTGTAGTGCTACATGTATTGTGCCATGTTATCCTTACAATCGCTGTGACTCATTCCTTCGTGCTGTGCGCCCCTTCCGTTCAGGTGCTTTGCACGCCCGCCCGTTTCATACTTCTCATTCCAAGCTGGGCCATTGTAACAGACCGCGTTTCTGGCGTTCTGTGTCCGGTGGTGAAAATCGCCTATCGACTCTGTCAGACGTGCCGAGTCGTGTCGTGACCGGCTGTGACAGGTAGTGGTGTGACAGGTACTGGCTATGACAGGCGGCGGACAGTGACGGCCGGCCGGCGTCTGCCGTGCCGGCGGCCGCCATCCGTCACCTCCCTCCACTCCCACCCGTTGACCGCTCTCTCCCTCTGCCCGGCAGATTACGTAGGCTTCATCACCAAAATAATGAAGCTGATGCAGACGAAATACGTAGACCTGCGGCGAGTCTCTCTGGAGCTGACCCTGCTGGGCGAGTCGGTGTCGGCGCCGGTCCGGCCCAGTGAGTACCGGCTCCGCAGTCCTCCTCGGGGGACCCCGGGCCTGTGTCTGTCTGTCTGTCTGTCTGTCTGTGCTTCGGCGGTGTGGGGAGCTCACTGTCCGCGACGTGTTTGGGAGGGGTCTGTCTTCTCTGGGCTTCGAGTCTGAGCTTCCGGAGCAATGGATAAAATATTTAATTGTCATGGGATTTATCAGCCATTATAATCAAAATACAGGAAAATTTTCGTCCCAAATAATAACTGCGATCGAATAATATTTCTTGTTTTTGAAGGCCGGAGTAGTGCCTTCTCTGTCTCGTGATATGAATGAGTGAACACTTCGCCACTCAGCGTGGTGTTGCATGACTCATTGATAAAAACTTCAGCTGTAGCCGGCGATTTGTTATCGGTCAGTGTTATATCATCGACTTGATCACGTCCGATACAGTGTCCGTGTCCACCGCTCATCGTTCCCAGTCGATGGGGTGACCGTTACCATCGTCCCTGTATCTGTGGGCGCCCCTCCGATACCGGCGCCCCTGTGTATCAGTAGGCGCCCCTCTGATACCGGCGCCCCTGTGACCCACTGGGCGCCCCTGCGTCCCGTCCGGCGCCGACCACTGACGCTGCTCTGCCCCCAGCCAGGCCGGGCTACATTCTGTGCTCGGTGGGAGTCTCACTGCGGCCCTGTAAGATATCGCTCGCTGGCCCGCCCGGTAGCGGGGGTGGCTGCCCGGTCTGTCCGTCCGCTCACTGACCCACTAACCTGGCGAGCGGCGGCCGGCCGGCCGTCTCTGACTCAGCCGCCGACCTTTGGCAGACGGGCAGATTGCCGAGTGGCGCCGCTAACCTCTCCGCAGTACACGGGGAGACTGCCCACTGCAGCAGCTAACCCTCCCCAGAGTGCCGAGTGCGACCGCTAACTTTTCCCCAGCGTGCGCTGCCACCTGACATTAGCTGATGGCTGGCGTAGCTAGAGCCTGATGGGTTTCGTCTGATCACTGACAGGTTTGCTAATGTTTGGCTCCTTTGGTTGCTGTGGAAAAAATTAGGTCAACATTGGTACCTGAGAGTACTAAGACATGACTCGCTAATATAAGCCCCGTGATGTTAATCTTTTCGGGACCTGTGCATTTGCATATTGGACCCTCCTCACGGCTTTAATTAATTTGCTAGCATACGTCTGGCCTTTGGGATAACGCTGCTAATTACTAACAAGCATGGAACTTGAGACGAAAGTAGCGTGTCGTGCCGGACAGCGGTGTATCATGTTTCCAGTTCATGTTCCAGTGGAGTTCAGTTCCTGAAAGCTTGTCGTTTGTCGTCTACTGTGTATTGTTTCTCCGCTTGGTGGTGTGTGTTACTTCACTCCGCTGTCCATTCGCCGTATGTGTGGTGTTTGTTTGTGTACGATCGGCGCTGAAGTCTGTGTCTGTGTCTTCTGTTCCCCGTGTCCCGTGTCTCCTCCCGTCTGCCGCTTGTTGAGTCCGCCGTCTGCCCGCGGCTCGCAGACGGCGTGTCGTGGTACCCGCGGTACCAGTACCAGTACCCGCGGTACCAGTACCAGTACGCGAGGGAGTACCAGACGCGCCTGCGGCCGCTGCGCTCCGCCGTCGGCCCGCGTCTGTCGACCGCCGACCGCGGCCGGTCCTCCCAGCTGCCCGGACTGGCGCCAGTCGCCAGCCCGGAGCCAGCGGGAGCCGGGCCGCAGACGACACACAGAGACACGGGGACCGGGCCGCCGGCCGTGCCTCCCAGAGACACCAGCTGGAGCTGGAGACAGCGGTACACCGTGGTACCCGGCGGACCAGGCGAGCGGCCGGCCGCAGCGAGCGCCGTGACAGTGCAGCCATCCCCCGAGCAGAGGCACACCAGGCGGTCAGCCGACACCGCGCGACTCCGGGCCGAGTTTTTCGCGTCTGCACCACCCCGGACGAGCTTTGAGGCTAAGACGCCGCTCTCGAGGAGTGTGGCTGCGATGAGCGGTCGCTCTGGGGAGCAGACGGTCGGGGTACCGGACGGGGAGAGCCCTGCGGCGCGGAGTGGGGGTCGGACGGTGAGCAGACCGCCGTCCCGGGCAGCTCTGATGGCCGGCAGGCCGGGGCTGCAGCTCCGACCGGCCTCCTACCCCGCGGGCCTGGGCGCCCGGCCCGCCCAGGAGGAGCTGCTGGAGCGGGCGGCGGCGGCCGCAGAGGCGGAGAGGAACAGGACCTCCGCGCCCAGACGGGACCGGAGCGTGTACCAGTCTGCCCCCAGCCGGCTGGCGGATGGGGCTGACACAGAGCAGAGCGCAGACAGGACGGACATGGTGCGATCGGGATCAGAGCCGAGGATAGACGTGTCGGAGGACAGACCTGAAATAGACCAGAGAAGAACGAAATCGGAGCAGACTATTACAGAGCTGGACAAACGAGCTTCGGAAGAGCCTCAACATATGTATGAAGAAGATAGAAGTGCACCAGAAATAAACAATAAGGCGAATGAGACGATCGAAACTGCTGATAGAAAACGAGCCTCGGAAACCGACCAGGGGACTTTCATACGAGGCTCAAAGGTCTTATCCAGCAGGAAACGTGCGGCTTCGGGGCCTGAGAGAAATAGTTCACCGAAAAGACAGGATGTGCTGCATGATCGGACAGCTCTGCCCAACGGTGTACACTCACGGAGCTCCCAGCGACTGATGGATGACAGCCTGGACAGAAATGTCACCAGTGGAGCCACTCTGGTGAGGTCCATCAACGCCAGACAGTCGTATCGCCTGGCACTGGGCAAGGAAGACGTCTTCTCAGCAAATAGTAAGAGTGAAGGGGCGAGGGTACCCGAACCAAGTCCGGGGAATCGCATTGGCAAAGAAAGCACGTCTTCATTCGTGGGAGATTTGAAGCCGACTAGTCAGGGAAGTGGCGCTAATGGTCAGAAGAACGCAAACGAAGGCATGGCCAATAATCAGATGAAGAACCTCAGGCAGAACCATGAGACGTCGGGCAGCGCCCCTCACCTGGTCTCCCCGCCCGCCGCCGGCGACTCCGGCAGTCTGGAGCGGCACAGGAAGCGACAGCGGAAGATCCAGTCGATGCTGAGGACGGCCGACCTGCCGCCGGAGGTGAAGCGCCAGTACCTCTCTCAGCAGTCCCTGGACGCCAGTGAGGCCCGCTGCTGCGGTCTCAACACTCCGGACCTGCGAGCCAAGAGGGAGCGAAAGCTGCAGTCCATGCTGAACGCAGCGAGCGTGCCGGCGGAGATAAAGCAGCAGTACCTGTCTCAGCACTCTCTGCCGTCGGCTGCTGATGAGCATACTCACCCATCGCCACAAATCAACAGTTTGGAACGTCACACTAAGCGGGAGCGGAAGATCCGTTCAATGATGAAATCTGCCGACCTACCGGAGGAGGTTAAACGTCAGTACCTGTCACACCCCTCGCTCGCTGGTGCTGCCGAGGGCGACGGGTCCTCCCCAGCAATCACGGGCAGTCCCGAGAGGCACGCCAAACGCCAGAGGAAGATCCTGTCCATGCTGAAACACTCCAACCTTTCGCCGGAAGTCAAACAGCAGTACCTTTCTCAGCAGTCCCTTCCGGCGGCTCCGGAAGCAGCCCACGGCTCTTCATCAAACATTGGCGACGCGGGGAGGAAGACCAAACGGGAGCAGAAGATTCGGTTTCTGCTGCGCTCCGCTGACCTCTCGCCGCGCACGCGGAGGCAGTTCGAGGCGGACCTGGCTCAGTCCCCTTCAGGCTCTCCCTGCAGGACCGACTCCCGCTCAGTCAGCTCCCCGGTATTATCGACAGAGCAGCCTTCAGTGGAGAACAGTCAGCCGGCCGACACGGGCAAAATGGTGCCAGCTGATGACTCGCAGCAGAAGGACCGTACTGACAGCAAGGAACAAAAAGAGAGAGTGGAGACCAAGGGGGAAGAAGTGACGACACTGCTCAAGTCCCCGGTGGAGGTACGGGAAGGTTCGAGGGACAGCGTGGAGCGGGCGGAGCGGCGGCGAAGACGGTCCTCGACTGAGGACCGGGCGGACAGTGCGGAGCGGAGGGAGCGGAGGCGGCGCCGCTCCCCGGCGGAACGGTCGGCGGACGAGGAGCGCGCGGAGCGGCGCCGGCGGAGGTCCAGGTCGATCGAGCTGAGAGAGATGATCGCGAGCGCTACAGTGACAGTGTCCAATGGGCAGGTGAATGGGCACCCGCCGGCTCACAACGGTAAAGGGAAACCAGAGAAAGATGCGAATTCGAAGCAGGGTTCCCACGAGGACAATCAGAAACAAAATGAAGCAGAACAAGAACACTCAAAAGTTGTTCAATATAAACCGAAGCAAGAGATTGACATGGAAATCCGGAAGAAACAAGCGCTTAATGATGGTAAAGAAAGTAAGACTTTTCAGAAGTCACAGCGGCAAGATATGCCAATCGCAGCAGCCGGAAAGCTCGTGGTCCCACGCAGCGCAAATGGGTCGACTGGGAGACATCAGGACAGGGTCTTAACCGACAGAGAGGTACGAGAAACGCCCCAGAAGCCACAGAGGAGAGATGTGTCGGAAGGAAATCTCAGGACAGAAACTGTGAAAAGTCGCCACAGGCGAGATGAAGCTATTCAGTTACGGGAGTCAGTTTTGCCACAGCAGTGGCAGGATGATGTATCTTCCAGACAGTGGAAAACGGACACATTCCACGAGCGACGGAGGCACGTCAGCGAACACCACAGAGAGCCGAGCTCACCCGTCTCCAGGCCTGGTGACAGAGACAGGCGGGAGGCCTGGTCCGGTGGCGAGGGGGCGCAGATAAGGAACGTCCCCGGGGTCCCGGGCAGACGGGACGCGGCCGGCGGCGGCGCGCTGGCCCGTCACCGCCAGTCGGCCACCTCCGAGTCGTCCCTGACGCGCAGCTCAGAGTCGGTGACCCGGCCGGAGGGACGCTCCCCGGAGCGCCGCTACCGGGACCGGCTGTCCGACCCCGGCGGCCAGTCGGCGGCCCGGCAGGAGCGGGGCTCCCCGGAGCGCCGCTACAGGGACCGTCTCTCGGAGCCCGGCGGCCAGTCGGCGGCCCGGCGGCGGCGCACGGCCTCCTCGGGAGCCGGGGACGACCTCGGGCGGCCTCCGACCGATTGGCCGCCGTCCCGTGACTGCCAGACACTGCCGCGCCCGGCCGGCCGCCGGCGGGCTCCGCGCACCACCGGCTGCCTGTCGGCTGGCCGGGGCAGCCCGGAGCCTCCGCAGCGAGCGCCGCCGGCGCTGCAGCGAGCCCGCTCCCTGCCGGCCGCCGGCACCGGCAGGCTGCACTTCCGGGAGGCGGCGCGCGCCCAGCTGTACCGCGAGCTGTACCGCAACTACCGGCGCCGCCAGCGGCTGACCCGGGCGGCGGGGGCGGGCGCGGCGGCGGCCGAGCCGACCGGGCCGCCGGCGCGCCGCACGCTGGCCGTGGAGACGGTGCTGACCGACTCGCTGGAGACGGTGGCGCGCCGGGAGCGGCTGCTGCAGCTGGAGGAGGACATCCTGGAGCAGCTGCTGTTCCTACTGCCGCACAGCCTCAGCGCCAGACTGTACAACGGTGGGTGACGGGCGGCGTGATACTGTACGGCCGGCGGCGAGCGGCGAGGGACCGGAGGGTGACGGGACTCTGCAAGACAGCCGCCTGATGAGGCAGTCATGAGTGATGTGCCCACTGCAAGAGGAGCGAGTCGAGAATGCGGTTTGGTGTCGGTACTTCAGAGCAGCTGGATCTACGAGCTGAGTTCAGCAGATGCAATGCAGTGTGCCATGCAATGCTGCCGTTTTGAGTTTCACAGAGGTGGTCGGCGTGTTATCGTTTTGTTTATTTGGCCGCGTGCGCCTGTTTAGTCTACTCGAGTGGTGGTCAACGGTGGTGATGGTGGAAGAAGGGGATTCGGGGAATGACTCCCACTGATGAAACCTCAATGCGACTCAGATGTATGACTCCTCTCGACTCCGGCTGCTGAAATGTCCTTCCTCCTCAATGTCGACTGAATGACAAACTGTGTGACACCGTCCCTTACAACGGCAACTGACCTACTGTGACGCGCTCGTATGGCACGTATGGGCCGCTCGGGAGGCGCCTTGTGCCCGGGACGGCGCTGTTTGGTGCACGGCCGGCGGAATGAGTGTGCCTGTCAGCTGACGGGGTGTGTGTCTGTGTATGGCGGTGGACGGGTGGCGGCTGGTTTGATCGCCCCACCGTGGTGTCTCTCCGCTCGCTCGGTCTGTGATATGACCAGACAGAGAGCGGCAGACGTCGTTTGTGATAACTTACATGACATAGCACTTTTGGTCATGATGCAACTGTGCATGACGTGTCCAGATATTTAATGTGTCTCACATATGCTTTTTTCTGCAATTTAGGAAGTTATCTTCTTGGACCTAAAAGCGTTTTCCAGTACATAAATAAGCCCATGCTGGTTGATCTCTTGGTGCAGCCTCTAAATATGCCGTCCCTTTGTCCGCTGCTCCTCGCTGAAATGTGCACGGCTGTGTTACAGTATCGCCGGAGGGGCACGCCAACGGCGAGGTGGAACTCACCGAGGCCAAAGTGCTGGAGATCATCGAACAGTCCTACCCCAACCCCGTCACCGTACAGCAGATGGCCAAGTAAGTACGAGAGACGCCAAGTAATGCCTCCCGACCGTGAGGTTAGGTTCAGCAGTCTATGTCCAACCTGAGCCGAACACTTATGGGGCGACGGGCTCCGATGAAGTAACTTGAACCCTTGAATGAATAATTCAGTACTGAAATATGAAGTTCTGAGTGTTGACAAAGGTGTCGTTTGTTCAGACAGTCCAAGCCTGCTATATTTCATTGCGCGGAGTGGCTCCATGCACCTGCTGGAAAGGCCCACAGTTAACGCTCGACATCCAAAAGGAATTCGGTGATGCTCAGTGATATAGCTAGGAAATAATCAGGCCAATATAATGTCCAAACAATACGACATTTATCCAACATATCTGTACCCTATCGCATAAGAATCCCTCCGATATTGTCCGAGACTCCTTTCCTATGTGTATTTAGCACTAACAGCCCGCGTCCTACCCCACAGACAGACGTACCGTGCCGAGGAGGAGGTGCAGCTGCACCTGGCCGCGCTGACGGAGCGCGGCTCGGTGCGCCCGCTCGAGTCGGGCGGCTACACGCGTGTCCAGGAGAACGACACGGCGGTGACTGTGGTGAAACAGATGCCGACCGTGGTGAGCGCCCAGCAGCCCACCATTGCCATCATCACGGCCAACTACTGCGAGAAGCTCGCCGTCGACGCCATGATTGTCAACAAGGAGACGTTCGTCCGGTTCACCACCGTCGGTGAGCGGCAGGGGAGGGAGGGAAAGGGACATTGGAGATCCGTCTGTCACTCGTCACCCAGGAGAGACTGCAGAATCCTTTCTCTCTGCCGGCCGGCTCTAAGCGCTGGCTGATTGTGTTTGATGCGTTGTCTCAACACAAGTTGATTTTCAGGTGTTGACTTGTCAACGATTCTAGAGCTGCCTTACCTTCAGTGCTGTGCTCCCCTCCCACCTCTGACTCTGCCCTCGCTCTCCCGTCCAGGCGAGTCGAACGTGTACACGCTGGGTAACATCGGCGCGCACCGGGTGGTCTCCACCAAGCTGCCGACGGTGGGTCACACGCGTGGCGCCGTGATAGCCGCCGGCAGCAGCACCACGCGACTGCTCGGCTGCTTCCAGGGCGTCGAGTACGTGTTCCTGGTGGGGGTCGGCGGCGGCGTGCCGCACTACACCGACTACAGCAAACACGTGCGGCTCGGGGACGTGGTGGTGGCGGCGCCCACGCCCGGACAGAGGTGAGGAGGAGCGGGGGGAGCGACGGGAGGTGGATGATGCCAGGGCTGGGTCCCGTGGTGGTGGTAGAAGGATGGAGACTGGTTGGCGAGGTGGCGCGGCGATAGAGCTGGAGTCATGTGTGGCGCGTAGATGGCGCATCAGGTCCCTTTGGACTACACAACATACCCTGAACGACACAGTCCACATCATGAAGTCACTATAAGCCACACAGTCCTAACAATTATAAATCGACACGCACCCTAGTGAAATGTAGATCTGCCAGCGGCACAGTGTGCCGTTAGACACCGTCCGTCGTCCAGTGAAGCGTAACGTTATGTTCTTCCTCCACCAGGTTTATTTACCTGCACTGCGAGAGGGCCAGTGAACTGGACGCCGGCGCGTACGAGTTCGAGACCAAGTCGTGGGGTCCGCCGCAGCTGGACCTGCAGAACATTGCCGAGCTGCTGCGACAGCAGGGCGAGGAGCACCCGGACGCGGCGCCCTGGCTCAAGTACATGTCGGACGGCCAGCAGCGGCTGCTGGAACAGGACGCCGCCTTCCAGCGGCCGCCCGACGACACCGACAAACTCTACATGGCCATCGGAGACAAGGACGTCATCGAGGTGGCGCACCCGGCGCCGGCCGACTGTACCACCAACCTCAGGTGAGGGGAGGGACCGACTGTACCACCAACCTCAGGTGAGGGGAGGGACCGACTTCACCACCAACCTCAGGTGAGGGGGACTGACTGTACCACCGCGCACCCGGCGCCGGCAGATTGTACAAACAACATCAGGTGAGAGGGACCGACTGTAACACCAACCTCAGGTGAGGGGAGGGACCGACTGTACCACCAAGCTCAGGTAAGGGGAGGGACCAACTGTACCACCAACCTCAGATGAGGGAGGGACCGACTGTACCACCGCGCACCCGGCGCCGGCCGACTGCGGCACCAACCTCAGGTAATAGAACGAGCAAGGGAGACCGACTGCACATTCAATCTCAGCGGATCTGCGGTGGGATGTAATGAAACCGTGGAACCTACTGGGACGAGAGCGGGCGCTGGAGATCGACATTGGCGTGGAACCTTGTGACGCAGGGAGCGGGACCGGCCCGTGAGCCATTTGGGTCCGATGGCCTCCCGGTTCCCTGTGTACCCTCCCTGTATATACCCCTGTGTAGTGTGTGTACTGACGGCACTGTCCTGCCTGTCACAGGGAGCGGGGCCGACCGATGATCCACCTGGGACCGGTGGCATCCCTGTCCCCCTGTGTAGTGTGAGTACTGACAGGGTGGCCCTGTCCGTTACAGGGAGCGGGGCCGGCCGATGATTCACCTGGGGCCGGTGGCCTCGGGTCGCCAGGTGGTGGGCCACGAACAGATGCGCCAGGAGTTCTCCAGCCAGGTCGGCATCCTGGCCTACGACGCCGAGTTCGATTCGGTCGTGGAGAGCATCTACGGCAACCGCAAGGACAACTACATCTTCATCCGCGGCATAGCCGGTCAGTTCAGTGACGTAGCTGTCCGGCAGCTCAGTGGCTCGCAGCTGGGGACTCTGGCCAGCGCTCAGGGCCCCGCCGGGTCCCCGACTCACTGAATGGCCCGACGACAACGAATTGTGTGCACACAATGTTAGGGCACATCGACTTCATTCCGGCATCAATTGAGTTCGTATTGACAATCCTCTGGCGTTCAAGCTGAAAAGAGCGCGGACGTAACGTTGTCGTTTTTGTGATTAGCTTCATGCTCGATAGAGCACACGCCTGCCATGGACATGCCAGAGTTTGTAATGGATTGGCGCGGTATTTCATATTGAAGTAATATTTACTATGCTACTTGACGTTCATACGTCATTGTCAGAGACAACTAAAAGACTAAGGCATTCAGGCCGCATTCCATATTGTTCGGATGTCCACCTTTAATACAATGTATGACATGCTTTTGAAAGCTCAGTGTATTTTCTAGACCCATCGAACATTTTTGGCAGTTTCTACATGGCTGCCGTACAAAGGCAAAACCGATTTCCTCAGAGTGACCTCTGGCCTTCGGTAATGACCTCTGACCCGACGTAATTATTTTCGCCTTTACACGGCAGATGGTGTATCACATCGATCCCTAGCTGACCTTACTTGACCGTGGCCTATGAGTGTGACCTGACCTGACCTCGCTGCCACTTGATCTGCCCTCGCTGTCACCCGTGGTCTCTGAGCTGACCCGCCGTTGCTCTCCGTACCGCAGACTACAAGGACGGCACGCGGGGCCGCGAGTGGCAGCCGTACGCCTCCCTGGCCGCCGCCAGTTTCATGAAGGCGGTCATCTGTGCCATGGACCCGCCGAAGGGCACGTGAGGGCGACCGGGCGCGCCCCACAACACCCCACCCCACCCCGGTCCGCTCGGGCCCCCACCCACCCAGCTGGGGACTCTGCAATTACTGTTTGTGCGTTTTGTATTGTATTATTTAAAACCTGTGTTCGTTGCGATGCAAGCTTATGCATTTTGTATTTGTGAGCTAACATGTGGGAGTGCGCGTGTGCCAGTGAGACGCACAGAGCGATCGCTTGAACGAGGAGTGACGCGTGCGTTCGTTCTCGGGTCGAGTGAGTGACGCGTGTGTCCGTTCTCGGCCGGCAGTCGTGAGTACCGATACGGTGTACCGTTTACCGTGCGCGGCGCCAGTGGGACGCGCAGCTCAGAATGCCCCGTTATGCAGCTAGGTCTTCGCAGTGTGGTGTAGCAAAGAGAAACCTATCGAAGTCGTGTGGAGTAAATCAAATGCTATATTGGCGAGTGGTTATACCATTTCGTGCACAGCAGTTCTCAGTGAAATGGGAATGCGTCCTTGTTAGATATTCAGATCGTATATGAATATGATAACAAACAGGTTTTCTTTCAGCGATCGAAAGTTGATATTTTTGTTTATATCTCATATGAAAAAACTG